GGAAGGGGCAGGGGGGCCTGGTTCCCTGAGACTTAGTGTGCTCTCTCTATAGCTCCGTTTTCCCTGTCAATGGGGTCTTTGGAGTGAGTGACCCCTAAATTCATTATCATCATGTCTCCAAGAATCCATGTTCAGCTAAGAGCCTTGAATTCAATCATGAGACTGGAACCTTCTGGACCCCCCCTTCTCTAAGGACATATGCCCCTCAATCTACTAGCTCTCCCAAACCCCGGCCACAGGCTAATTGCCCCCAGAAACCTCCCGGGATGCATAACCATCATCTTTAGTTTCAAGCTTCTGGCCACAGAGGATTACCTTAAAGGATCTATGGAGTAGGGGACTGTCCACGTTAACTTCCCCTGTGAGGAGCCAAGGTGACCAGTTATCGTCTCTTCAAAGGGTCAGTGTAAGGAGACCCACAGATGGGGAAATCAAGGTCCACACAGGAACGTGTCCTGCCCCTGGTCCTAGACAGAGCTGTCTGGAGCGTGGCCTCCACTCCACCTCTCTGCCTCTCCTAGGATCCACCCCATTGATGCTATTCATCTGCTTCGTTGTGTGGGCTTTCTTGAGCGAGGGCCAACCCCCTCCTCCCTCCCAGAGGAGTCTTACCTGCCAAGAAGGCACCAATCAGAAGGAAAGGCGGGCAACCAGGGCAGGCCATGGCCAGAGGCACAAGGCTGTACCAGAGTTGTCCTGCTGTGTGTGCTGTGCTCTAGGTGCTTATGGTACAAGGATGGGAAGGCCTCTAGACCACAACAGAGCATGCAAATCAGCCCGCTGATTGAAGAGGGTGTGTCACACAATGTCAGGCCCTGTCCCCCATGTGTCCCGAAACACAGCCAGGGGGAGATCAGAAGTTCAGAAGCCTTCACGCCCAGGGCCAAGAAGTTGGAATTCCCCAGAGAGTTCCCCATACTCCTTTCTAGCCATTAATCATGTCTACCCACTAGAATAGGGGTTCTCAACCTGTGGACCTGTGGGTCCCGACCCCTTTATGGCGGGAAGAGGATAGGAGGCCCTTCCACAGAGGTCACCTAAGACTATCGGAAAACATAGATACTTTCATTAGGATTAATAGCAGTAGCAAAATTACACCACTGGAGGAGCAATGAAGATAACTTTGTGGTTGGAGGTCACCACACCATGAGGAACTGTATCAAAGGGTCGCATTAGGAAAGTTGAGGGCCACTGCTCTACAGTACCCTCACAAAAGCCCAGGTGTCCCCAGCTTGACAATGTTGAGGGTAAAGGCCTCGTAGGACATTTTTAGATCAAGAAGACTATTCCCTTAAATGGTCTAGAGGGACCACAGAGTCTTCACCTTGTTGCCTGGCCTGCCCTGACTTCGCTCTACCCCTTGATACTGCCATGACGCACTGCCTTGACATGACAAGCCCAGAAGCAATGGTGCTGTGGACTGAAACTCCAAACCTATGAGCTAAAGCTAATCTTTCCTCTATGAGTTGATTATCTCAGGAAAACTGACTAATACAACCTCCAAAGGAACAGTCATTCTGGTTTTTACCACATTAGGTTACTTTTGTGGGATGTAGAAATTCTACTCTAAGTAGATTATATACATATGTGTATGTATATACACATATATGTGTCTATGTATTCATATATATAGATACACACATATACAGATATATATAGGTACACATATGTGTGTGTATGCATGTTTGCTTCTTTTGGTCAACATTAAGAGTCAACCATGTAGGCAGGGCACAGTGGTACACGCCTTGAATCAGGCCAGCTGCCTGACTCTGAGACAGGGAAGGAGATCAAGACAACAGCACAGGCAAAGCAACTCTCAGAGCTTAAGGCTCCCGTCCTACAGCTGCCTTCCTTCCAGATTCTGTGTTTCGGTGCCACCGTCTCCAGGCTTAAAGCATCTAAGTTGCGTTCTGTAGGACGTAAGTCCTCACAAAGCAGCCCATACACGAGTAAGCTCTGGAAATACTACTTGCCCCTACGGTACTGCTCTGAGGACCGAGATGGTTTCTAAAGTGATACGAACGACATTTATGATGGGCACAGTGGCACCCACCTCTAATCCAAACACCTATCAGGCTGGAGCAGGTAGAACTCTGAAGGAAGAAGTGAAAGATAAATTGATGTTGCTATCTTTTTTCCCCCTAAGGGGTTTACCAATAAGCTTGCCTCAAAAATACTAAGTTACACCAAGGTAAAATTTAGCAAAAGGAGCATGCCACTGCCAGGCAGTTTAGAGATGACGCCAACAATCAAGCCCCATGCCTCTATCAGAAAAAAGCATCCTTCTGCCAGCCAGGCAGGAGGATTCTGGTTAACAGCTGCCCAAGAAATGCAGCTGTGGTCTGTCTCGTGCTAGCTCTGGCAAAAACTGTACGTTGGAAATCTCCCCATTTGTCCAAACAATCAAACCTTAGAATTTCTGTCTCTGTAGAAGATGTTTAATTGCTCAAAGTGTAACTCGCGGTCAGGAAACTAGAGAAGCAGAAAGGGATCTCTGTTCAAGGCTGGTTCCCTTCTGTACATTAGCCGGAAACAGCCAGGCACTATTATTAAAAGTTTTCCATCGTGATTTTGCACCAGGAAGGCATATTAACTCTGTGACATCATGAATCAAGACCATCTGGGCTACATACAGCACCCTGTCTCCAATAGCCATCCCGACCAAAAGGCCCTGTGAAAGCCTCAGTAAGCACAACAAGCCTGTGTGCCCCATGTGTACTGCCCTTTCACACATGCAAAGAGCGAGGCTAACAAAAGCAAAGGGTTTATCTAGGGGCGAAGCGGGTCCGTGGTGAGCTAGACGGAGGACCCGGATTTCTTCCAACTTACCCAGCCTGAGAAGTGCTGGCAGAAAGCGGCACAGACAGCCTAACCATGGGGGTACCCTTCCGACACTGTGCTTGGAGGGGCCTGGGGGAGGCTCAGAGAGAGACGACAGAAGCAGAGAGACAGGGGAAGCCATGTGAGAGAATGAAAAACAAGGAATGAGAAATAGAGTTTCAAAAATCAGTTAGAGGATAACCGCAGACAGAGATGGAAGACAAAACAAACACTAAGTGTGAGGATGTAGAACAGAGAGACGGGGAGGGGAGAATGACTGTGCGTGAAAGCCAGGGCTGCTCAGAGAACTGGGGATTACAGCTCAGTGGTGCATTTGTGAGTCCCTGGATACAAAGCAAGCACGTGTGTGGGGGAGGGAGGGGTAGCAGGGACACTAACTGGCTGCTATAGATCTAGGAGGCCCAGAACCAAAGGAGACAGAAAACAAGACAACGCAAAAAGAGCACACACTGGAAAAGACACAAGTGCGTGCATACAAAGCGAACGACATCCACCAGGCGGCCGGCCCTGTAGTTCTTCCTGTGGTTCTCACTAGAGAAAGGAAAACTGCTCCCACAAGGACCGCAGACAAAAGTTTACCCAGTCTTATTCACGATCTCCCCAACTTCCAAAACAAGGGCAGGTGAGTGAGTCAACTCCTGAACACACAAATGACTCGACACTCCTCAGAAAAGAGAAACAAAATAAATAAACGAATGAATGAATGAATGAATGAATGAATAAAAGAGAGAGAAACAGCTACCTATACTGACAGCCTAGATCATGTCGAGTGAAGACGTCACAGGCTGTAGCTCTGAGCCCACTTATGAGACACCCTGGAAAGGATGCGTAGGAAATGGCCGTGGATGCCAGGGACCAGCACTGAGTATCCGAACCTCAACAACAGACAGAGAGCCTCCAAAGACGAAGAGGACTTGGGGAACTACGGTAACACTGCGGGAGGGATATAGGAGCCGTTCGGGGAGGCTGGAAGCAAGAGGAAGTATTTAAAGGTGAAATGGATTACATAAGGTATTTTGAAACAATAATCCTTGGCTACAAGGATCGATAACAAGGGTGGCTCGAGTCCAAGACTAAACACACAGTTGCTGGGTGGACGGCCTTGCAGGAGTGCTTCTGTGGAAGGTTGTGGTGGCCTTTGTGCAAAGCTGTGGTTGCAGCGGTATTTTGTGGTTAGTTCTTGTCATTAGACATGCGTGCATAAAATTCCCAACTGTAGTCACCCAGCTTTAGTTATTTGGAGCAGGACGATGGAGGTTAAGGACTATTTTTTCCTCTCTCTCTCTTTCTCTCTCTCTCTCTCTCTTTGGTTTTTTTGAGACAGAGTTTCTCTGTGTAGTCCCAGCTGTGCTGGAACTCTCTGTGAACCAGGCTGGCCTCGAACTCACAGAGATCTGCCTACCTCTGCCTTCTAAGTGCTGGGATTAAAGGCATGTGCCACCACCGCCTGGCAGTTAAGGGCTATTTTTATTCTCACAGTTTCAAAAAATCACCTATAGGAAGGGACGATGGAAACATTCTGTATCCCGGTTGTGGTAACTGGAAATTTGTCAAAACAGTACCAACAAGATGGCTCAGTAAGGGAAGAAGCTTGTTACCTAGCCTGACAACCTGAGTTCAATCCCAGGGACCCCCAAGGTGAAAGGAGAGAACCAGCTCCCACAAGGTGCCCTCTGACCTCCACACATACGCACTGTGGTACATGCACGCATACAAAAACACATACACAAAATGAATAATCATAAATAGATTTTTCTAACTTGAAAGCATTCCAGAGGGGAATGTAAATTTCATCTCCATGAATGTGGCTAGCAGGAGAGGACAAAAGGAAATGAGAACAGAAGAAAATAACTGGAAGGCCCAGGCGGTGAGGGCGCACGTCTTTAATCCCAGCGCTCAGGAATCAGAGGCAGGCGGATCTCCGAGTTCGAGGCCAACCTGGTCAACAGAGTGAGTTCCAGAACAGCTAGGACTGTTACAGAGAGAAACCCTGTTTCAAAAAAAACAGGAAGGAAGGAAGGAAGGAAGGAAGGAAGGAAGGAAGGAAGGAAGGAAGGA